ACTGAGCCACCCAGGCACCCATCCTTAAAAAGATTTTACACTACAATGGAAGGAGCCCTCCACCCTTTCCCACGTGATAGATAGGTGAAAAAAACCTGATTGGATGACAGGCACAGAGAGGGTTAATCAGATTAAAACAGCCCAAAAAACCCCCTAGACTTAGAAACTCTGGTGGCAACCCTCTCGGGTCCCCTCCCTCCTCGGTACCTTGTACTATCACTTTGCTAGCACTCAGTAAACCTCGTTTTGCTGCCCACCACTCTGTCTGGTCTACCTCTTCATTCTTCCAATATGCATGACCAAGGACCACTCTGTCTGGTCTACCTCTTCATTCTTCCAATATGCATGACCAAGGAACCGGCGGGGAGGCACCAACAAAGGAAAAATCCTGTAACAATAGCATGTTTCCCAAATGGCAAATACATTGTTTGCGTTTTACCTGCTAAACTGAAAGTCTGCTTTACTAGACTATAGGCTCCTATAGGCCCCGGGTCTGTTCTGCTCACCACTGTGTCCCCAGTGCTGGGCATGGAGCTGGGCATGGTGCAGGGTAAGTAAGGTGCTCAGTAACTGTTGGCCAGATGAAGGAATGGATGAATAACCCTGCTCTGACCTGCCAGATAAGCTTTACCTATAGAATAGGGATAAGAGGAGTACTCACCCCGTAGTGTGGCGTGAATTAAATGAAAGAGTGTACAAACTTTTTGGTAATGGTACCTGGGTCATATTAAGATCTCAACAGTTACTGTTCCCTTTCTCTGTCACTGAGTCTTAGGCTCAACACTGACCCACTGGAGGCAACCTTGGGCTAGTGATTGAACCCCTTGGGCCGACAGAGTTTATTCCATCAAGTCATCTCGGGACACCTCGGTGGCTCAGTCAGTTAAGCATCTGCCTTTGGCCCAGGTCATGATCCCAGGGTCGTGGGACCGAGTCCCGCATCGGGCTCCTTGCTCAGCGGGGAGCCTGCTTCTCCCTCTCCCTGCCATTCTCCCTGCTTGTGCTCTCTCTCTGTCAAATAAATAAAATCTTAAAAAAAAAAAAAAGGAATTTATCCATCAAGTTATCTGTTGAGTGCCTGCACACGGTTCTAATGCTGGAGATATGGCTATGAATAAACAAAACTCCTCACTCTCTTGGAACTTACATTCTAAGATCTCCAATGGCCCAGATATTTTCTCTTAGATTCTGCATCACGTAGCAGCTGGAATGATCTGTGGCTGAGTTTCGAGCAGATGAGGAACGAGAATGGCCTAGCCTAATGACTTAGGAGGGCAGGGGGCTGTCCTCGGCTTAATTTCATCCAGTTCCAGCAGGTTTCTAAAATCATTCGGCGGATCTCCTTGACCTGTGCATGTTGGAGAGTTTGCTTGATAAGGCACAACAAGTGATGGTGTGACTGCAGCTCTTCAGTCTGAGAGCCCGTCAGCATCTGAGGAGGTACAGGACTGCCAAAGGAACCCAGGTCTCCTCCCTTCCCGGGCCGTCCTCTTGATCTACAGGCGCGGAAAACGGCAGTTTCCCTTTTTTCGGGAACCTCAGTCCCAGGAAGGGCTCTGATTGGCTCTGCTGGGATCATAGGCCCGCCCCTTGGAGCAATCCGTGTTGCTAAGGGGATGGGGTAAGCTGATTGGTCAGGCCAGGGGGCCAGGGAATAGTAGCCGACCAAGCGGGTGGGGGAGAGTTTGCCCGGGAGCTAAGAAACGAGTGTTACCCGGTAATTCCACATTAGATGCTAAAAACTTAAGTCTCCAACTTCTCACGCATCCTTGCCTGGCCTTGGGCTTCAGCTCCGTGGTCTGACTCAGAGCCTAACACTTTATTTACCGCCAGGAGGTGACTTCAGCTCTGGGGAAATGCAAGTCCGTTGCATGTGCTTGGATTGATTGATGATTTCTCAGGATGCTCCTCTCTGACAGTTGCCAAGGGCAAATTTTTCTCTGATGAGGGATGAGAAATAGCAGTATGTCCCGGGAGACTGATTATGGGACCAGAATCTGAATCCAAGCTCTGGCATGCCATTTGATACACGACTTTTGAGCTTAAAAGAGATTAAGTTCATAAGATAGTTAACAAATGAATTGATCAATCATTCCAAAATGTTTTTGACAATAAATGTGAAACCTGTAAATTATTTAAATAATGTGCTAATTATTGAAACTTTCAGTAGCCAGAAAAAAAGGAGGTTTGGATTTATATGCTAAGAAAGGCTCCCTGCAGGGTCCCTTGGGGCCAAGTGTGATTGTGTTTGACCCCTGAGCTGACAGATGAAGAAAGCCTCTGGCAGGGGCTTCTCACTGTACCAAAAAAACTCTTAATGGAGACTGAGAGGAGAAGAGGAGAGAAGCATGTGATGTATCTGAAGTATCACTTTAGAGGGTCATTTTTGTTGAATTCGTCGTGTTAATATGCGAATAGCCTTAAGGAAGCAGTTTGATGCAGTAGAAAACTGTAGATTTGGGGGACTGAGATGTATTGCAAGGCAAAGACATTAACATAATTAAACATAATTCTCCTATAATATATATACTGAGCATGTGTCAAAGATTAATTAATTAGAGAGGCGTTATGGATGGAATTGTGTTCTTCCAAAATTCATATGCTGCCATCCTAACTTCTAGTACTTCAGAATGTGGCTGTATTTGGAGAAAGAGCTTTTCAAGGCGCCCCTGGTGTGGCATTTTTTAATGGTCACCCTAGAGAATTAGGCAGCCAGCAGGAAGGCACAGCTGGTTTAAAGAGGGTGGAAGATTATCTGGAGTAAGAGTACTAAGTCAGACACACAATTAGTGTCCTTCTGGTACCTACAACTCCAGCCTCTGGGTTACCTTCCTACACAAGAATCATTTGCATCTTACGAGTTTTCTACAAGGTTACATTTTTGAGATCTCATTTAATAGCAGATAATAAGTCAAATGTAGTCGCTGTCCTAGAGCAGGTTTCTCGACAGCGACACTACTGACATTTTGGACAGGACAGTTCTTTGTCGTGGGGGCTGTCCTGTGCATTCGGAGTTCCGCGGCATCTCTGGCCTCTGCCCACTAGATGGCAGTAGCATCAGCTCCCCCATCCAGTTGTGACAAAAATGCTTCCAGACTTTACCAAAGTCCCTAGAGGGAGGCCAAATTATCCCCCATTGAGAACCACTGTTCTAGTATTACCTTGAATTCAAGACCCAAAGCCTTATTATGTTGGATAAATGTTGTTAGCAGTGTTCAGCTCCCTGTTCTGGCCCTGGCTGGGTGTCTTTGGTCTAGTTTTTAACCTCTGGGAGTTTGTTTCTTCTATGAAACCTAGTGAATACACTTTTAGCTCGGAGGTTTGTGCGAGGATTAAGTGAAACTGTAATGTCAAACACAGACATTAGCAAACTCTGGTCACACACTTGGCCTCACGGTTGGCCATGCGGCTTTAAGAAACATGTTCATGGGGCTCTTGGGTGGCTCATTGGGTTAAGCGTCTGCCTGTGGCTCAGGTCGTGATCTCCTGGGATCGAACCCTGTGTCAGTGCTTAGTGGGCAGTCTGCTCCTCCTCCTTCTGCCCCTTCCCGCCCCTGTTCGTGCTCTCTCTCTCTCGCAAATAAATAAATAAAATCTTTAAAAAAAAGGAAGCATGTTCCTATACCTGTGGCCCCCGAGGGCAGAAAGTACCCCTAGGACACTTTGGCTGGCATTGTTCTGTGCCTGAGGGGCGGCAGGATCACTGAGAAGCTGGGTCCCTGCAGCTGAACTGGGCGCCTCCCATCACCACTCGGGCAGGACAGAGGACTGGGTGGTCTTGACAAGAGTTAGGGGAAAAAGAAGGGGTTACCCTTTCTTCACCCTTGGCCATCAGGGCGTGCCATCTCCTCTCCCCCAGCCTGATGCAGTTGTCACTCCCTCTGCGGCTTTCTGCAGGACCCGGGGCCCTCCTTGCTCTCTCAGCCTTAGGCAGCCAAGAGAGCCTGAGTGTATATATAGGATCAGGACTTCCAGATGAATGTAACTGGCATCTTTGTTGCTATCCTTCTACTTCTGTTTCTCAGAAGCGAGCTTGTTGATGAATTGAATTTAATTTATATGTGTATTGTGAAAATATTTTATGCTGAGGTAGGAGTGGAGGGGTAAGGAGCTTTTATGGTCCCGGCCCCCCTCCCTGAAGGAGACACCGGGAAACTAGCCCAGATCCCTCCATGGGACACCATTGTCCAGCAGGTGACACCCCTGCCTAGGACCCTAGGACTCCCGCAAGGGGTTATACTGGGGTTTCTTCTTCTTCTTTTTTTACCCAGCTGCTAAATTTGTGGTAATATTTATTTATTTATGAGAGAGAGAGAAAGAGAGAGTGCATGAGCGGGGAGGAGGGGCAGAGGGAGAGGGAGAGAGCATCTTTTTTTTTTTTTTCTTTTAGAATCTGCTTTGCTGGAACTTTTTTTTTTTTATTCTTATGTTAATCCCCATACATTACATCATTAGTTCTAGATGAAGTGTTCCATGATTCATTGTTCGTGCACAACACCCAGTGCTCCATGCAGAACGTGCCCTCCTCAATACCCACCACCAGGCCAACCCATCCTCCCACCCCCCTCCCCTCTAGAACCCTCAGTTTGTTTTTCAGAGTCCATCTTCTCTCATGGTTCGTCCACCCCTCCGATTTCCCCCGCTTCATTCCTCCCCTCCCGCTATGAGGGAGAGAGCATCTTAAGCAGACTCCACACTCACTGCAGAGCTGGGCCCGGGCGCGATCTCACAACCCTGACATCATGACCGGAAACCAAGAGTTGGTCCCTCAAAGGACTGAGCCATCCAAGCGCCCCTGTGGTAATTTATTTTTAATGGGGAGTTCGGGGCGAGGCGGGGAGGTGGTTCAGCTCAGAGCTGGTTCAGCCTAAGGTGGGGACAACTGCTCCTCATTCCCTGCTTGTTCAATACCAACTGAGACACAGCCTAGCCTTGAGGCTCTGGCCAGGACCTTGCCAGGGAAAGAGTGAAAGGAAACTGCCTGCAGACAACGAAGAATTGCATCAGAGCTTCTGCTGGTACTTTCCCTGCAGGCTCCTCAGCTCCGCATTCATTCCAGCAATGCTTGGCTTGCCTGCATGAAAGCCATGTGAGCGACTATGAACTGTTACTTACGTGAAGCTCCATGAAGTGTTAGTGAGCTAATCTGTGTGGACTGTGACTTGTCAGTAATGCTCAGGGCTGCACCACGCAGCGGGGAGGCCCTGGGCAGGGGGGAGGCTAGGGGAGGTAAGGGCGGGGGCAGGGCCACCACTCCAGCCCCACCCGGCACATCTGAGCAACAAGACCCTTCATCTCCCTGGATTTCAGTTTCCTCATAAACAAAATGGGGGATAAACCTGCTGCCCTGTTTCCTCAGAGACTGTGAGAGTCGAGTGCAAGAATTTTTAGAGAGTAGCAGCCCTACTTATGAGCTATGCTCTTCTGGGTGGGAACTCGGGAGTGTTTCTTATAGACATGGTGCAACTGAGTGGTTCATTATTCTCCATTTAACAAGGATTTCATGAAGCCCTACTGGGTGCCAGGTACTCCTGTAGGTGTT